TGATGGACAAGAGACATTAAATGTTGAAAATAATAATTATTGAATAAGCACTAGAATGAAATATGAAAAAAGATGATAAAAATTTATAATAATAAAAAGCTATCTTACCTTTTATTCATAGATCAAATTTTGATAATGTATTATTTATAATTTTATAATATTTTTTTTATATTAAAATCTGAGTTAAAAAAATATTCTATAATGTTATGTAACAGAGAAACAAAAACTCACTATTATATTTTTGTTGAACTAATCTTTATGATCATCACCTGATTCATCCGAATCCCAAGTATATTGCTCCAAGTTAACATAACAATCATAATTTAATTGTTCAACAGTATTATCACTTGTATCTATATTAATCTTTCCATCATCATCAACATCATCATCTTGTACATGGGTTAAATTGAATGATTCTATTTCTGTTTTTTTTTGATATAATTGTGCAGTTTCAAATATACAATATGTAAGAAATAATGGTTTAATTTTATCAGACATATATTTGGTACCTAAACCGAAAGAATCTGGTGAAATTTGAATACGACGACAATTCCATAAATGAAGTAATAAAATACTGAAAACTGTTGATGTTGGATATGCCAATCGACGTAATGACAATTTAAATTCACTTAAATATCTGAAAGATTGCTCGGCAATGCTTGTATTGATACCACGATAAACTTCATCATTTCCATTTAATGCGCAATCAGGATTAGTAATTGTCTTGCATATGCTATGTACATGATTCTTATGATGAAATCTGTCCACGACTACCCGCATATTGAACAAAATTGTGCTTGAGGGAGTTTCTTTCAAGTGGACTCCACGGTATTGCTTATTCCAGAATAATTTTAAATTACATGCAGCATCATAAATCATAGCATTAGGTAACTTTGTACCCATTTTGATCATGGTTAAAAGATGATCAGTAACCATGCGGACCCCTTCATGGTTGATTGATTCCGTAAACCCTATGATGACTCCACATGATAAAAATGAAGCGAGAAAACCCATACTTCGACGTTTTTCTTCATCTTTACCAACTTCTTCTGATCTAACTACATTACATGATTCATGTGTTGTATTATTGTTCAAAATATTTTGTTTTTGAATAGATTTTAATTCATTATACCATGCTTGTTCACGTTGATTGTGTTCCTTTGTTGATAAAGACATTGTTTCTTCTAAATTTTGATGAAAATAGCAATAAAATGGAGAGAGTTCTAAATAAAAAAAATGAATTATATGACGTTATTGTTCAGATCAGTTATTACTAAAGGAATCATAATTTCAAACATACAATTATGTAAGATATGAGAATATTTTTTTTCTATCATATTTATACAAAGTTTTCTAATATAATAATTTTACAAACTATTTTTGACTTCTTTTTTGATTTAAAAATGACACTGCTTTTTAAAAAGTAGAAATTTATATAATTAGAGCTCCATAGACTTTTATAAAGGAATTTCAGATACTTACTATTCTTGTTTTTTTTATCGGGTGTACGCCGCTTGGGCTGATAAGGACAACCACGATTGCAGGGCCCTAATTCTTCTTGGTTCACAAGTGATGTTACATTATCAAAACGACATACTGTGCGACGGGGCTTTTGATGGCCATCGAGAACTAATACTCGTGAACAAATTGATTTATCACAAACACATTCAGGAATGAGATTGTGATGTGACCAAAAGATACTGAATAGGTTGTATATCCAATCTAAACGTTCTTCAAGAAATTGTGCTTTAGCATTTATTATACCACCAGCTTGAATATTTCGACCTAAGAAAAAAAGAATAGTATTTAAATATAATAAGTATTTGCTTAGAATAAACTTTATATTTGACATTTTCCTGTAATTGACAATTAGAAAATTTTATTTTCTTCCTAAAAGGTTTCAATTTTTTTAAAAATCTTACCAGCAAAAAGTGCACGTGGAGCAAGAATTTCTTTTTCTGAACTTGTCATAAAGATAAAATTAAAAAGCTCGAAGTAAATCCAATGAGCTTCCAAAGAACGAATTATTTGTCCCGAATCAAATTTTTTATTAAATTCAGGATGAAGACGTGCAACTTTTGATAATAAAGATGTACCGGCACCATTACAACTAACATGACCATTAACAAGGTCCGAA